TTCTGATCCTTAATTTGTAAAATTCTTAAATTTTGTTCTTCAAAAAAAAATTCTCGTAAAAAATAAAAAAAGTATTACTCCCTCCGTCCCAAAAAGAATGGGACGGTTTGACTTTTTAGAAAATTAAGGGAGTGATATCTTGGTATTGACTTTCCAAAAATACCATTGATGTGATGGGTAAAAGTAGGATGTGATGGGTAGATTATTAGAAAAAAGGTATGATATGATATGTAGGGTATGAAAAAGTAAGGGGTAAAAGTGGTTTTTTAATAGAAATGTAACGGACTTTATGAGACGCAGTTTTTTCTAAATGTAACAAACTTTTTGGGACGGAGGGAGTACTATTTAATTTCTTTTTTCTAATCTTTATTGATTTATAATAATTATGCAACATGAATATTATTATGTAAAAGTTGGAGTAAATTCTATAAAAGGTCTCCAGTTATAGGTCATTTTACATATTTCGTCCCTACATATCAAATATTACTAATTTAGTCCCCAATTATTATATCATTTTTCACGAATGCTTCTTTGTTAACGTTTTTGTTAAAAACATGCATAAAATTGTATATTCATACTTCTCTCTCTTCTCAATTAAGCTTTCTCCCTCCTCTCGTACTCTTTTCCAAACTCGTCGATGAGTTTGAAGTTCTAAACCTAAAACTGAAATGATCATTCCTCTTTCAATTATTAGTCTTCTTGGTGTAACCTAAAATCAAAACCAATAAGCTTTATGGATGAGTTTATCGGTTAGTCTCAAGAAATTGCAAAGAAAATAAACATTAAAACTCATCCATGAAGGTTACTAGTTTCGAATTTGGGTTACACCAATTAGGCAAACAATTGAGAGAAGAGTGATGATTTCGGTTTTAAACAAAATTATGCAATATATTATGCCCTATATTGATAGGATAAACATATTTATATAAAACTTAAATTTTTAAGTACAAATAGACATGTATAAAAACTATATTTCAAAAACATTATATCTCTAGTCCTAGTCCGGTCCTGGTCTAGTCCTTCATAAAAAATCAAGGACCAAATAAGACTATCAGTCCAAGATTAGATCGGTCTCAAAGACTATATTTGTCTCATCTTTTCTGGTCCCAATCTCAATCTATCCTGACCAATTCAATCTTTTGGGTCCTAGTTTTATGCTCATCACTAGCCTAAGAGCACTGGAAATACGTTTGAAGCCCCGGGGCTTCAAACCGGGGCTTCAAACTTTCTCTCTCTGCCACGTCAGCTTTAACTTACACCAAAAATTTACTGGAAATGGGTTTGAAGCCCCGGGGCTTCAATTTGGGGCTTTAAACCTTTATTTTTTACATTTTTAAATATACATCTTCTAAATTTAAATTAATAAATTTAAATTAATTTATTATTTAAAAATATTGAAACACGAATACAAAAAAAATACATTCATTAAAATAAAAGAACGACAATATTAAAAAAGATATATTAATTAAAAAAACTAAGGTAAATTATATTTCGCCTTAATCTCTCTTTGTCTTTGCTCGTATATCATCCGTTTAAAACCCGACAACGTAGAAAGGTCAGTTTCCATGATTTTAAATAAAAAAAATTACATCCATTAAATAAAAAAATTGCATTCATTATAAAAAAACTACATTAATTAAATAAAAATATTAAATTCATTAAATAAAAAAATTACATTCATGAAAAAATAAATAAAATACTTGAATAATAATTTTTTTAAAAAAAATGATAGATAGAGAGAAATTTGTATTTGTGTTGAATTTTTTTAAAAAATTAAATTTAATTTATAGAGAAGAAAAGAAGAAAAAAGAGGGGAAAAAAGGAAGGAAGAAGGCGTGATAATGCCTTCAAACCGCGTCAAAACTTTGACGCAAGTATTTTAACGCCCTTTTAACGGGGGAGGGGGGCGGTGTTTAACGCCCCCCAGGCGTCAAAGTGAAGATAATGCCTATGGGCGTGATGGGTATACCGAGTGCCCTAAGGCTGTGTTCTCATCAATTTATTTTTTTTACTTATTATTTATTTTTTTGGAATCATATTAGATCAGACCAAATCAAATCATACCAAATCAGATCTGAACTTTTAGTATAACCATATTTCAAAATAGATCAGATTAAACCAAGTCAGATCAGAATTTATTCCAGTCAGATCAGAACTAATCACATCAAGTGTAGAGAACATGGACCTAAATTACTATTTCTTGGCGTGTCTCCAACACTACTACGGAGTACAAACCAGCCGTGCACCAAAAGGAATAATGAATGAGCAAAACACTTTAATTTATTTATTTATATTTAATTTGTATATACTATATACACTCATCCATCCAAATCTCTTCTTAACAGTGACGTTTTCATCATCTGGTCGTATGCGCGTGTGTGGGACTGTGGGTTCTGAATCATCAACTCAACTTGATCTAATTAACCAATCAATTCTCATAACATACCAATACGTACCCTACCTTTCTTGTTATTTTATCCTACATCCATACTCCAAGTATATTCGTTTAGTTTGACTTTTTCGAATCAAATAAGATTAATGTTGGGCTTCAAAAAAAATTATAATGTATATTAGTTAAAAACGATTTCATTAGATTTATCTTATTAAGTATTTTTAAAATTAAATTTTACTGTATTAATATGCAATATGTTAGCGGATATTTGTAGTTTTGGACTGTAAGTAGTAGTAGTAGTAGTAAAGAAGTAAAAAGGAAAGTCCCTATAAAGTAAGTTTTTGGATATTTTAGGGTACCACAAAGTATATACAGTATTTGTTTAAAAAATATGGGATCTGGAGGTTCTTTTTACAAAATTGGAGGTACCTAGCAGCAATTTTTGGGAAGAACATGATAAAAAATAGGAAAAAATGTATGATGTGATAGGTAGGATATGAAAAAGTAAGGGGTAAAAGTGGTTTTTTAATAGAAATGTAACGAACTTTACGGGACGCAGTTTTTTCTAAACGTAACAAACTTTTTGGGACGGAGGGAGTATTTGTTTAAAAAATATGGGATCTGGAGGTTCTTTTTACAAAATTGGGGGTACCTAGCAGCAATTTTTGGAAAGAACATGATAAAAAATAATGATGCAAATGAATATATATGACGGAGGGATTGACGGAAAGTCCCTTCGAATTTAGTTTTCACATAATTTAAGGTACACCAGAGTATATTTTTAAAAATGATGGAACCTGGGAGTTCTTATGACAAAACTGAGGGTCCATTCACCAACAGTTGTCTCCTCTCTCTACGTCTCATATTGATTGTTTATTATGAGTTTTTAGATACATAAAAAATAGTTAAATATAGACATATTTTATATATACATTCTTTCTTTTTTAGTGTGTCTAAAAAGTAATAATAAATAGTTAATAGACAGTAATTTATCCATTTTTTGACATTTTTTGGTCAAAATTAGTAAAGTTTAACATCAAATTAAATAAAAATAATATTAGATATTAATATAAAAATAGTTTTATTAGATTTATTATATCAAATATTTTCAAAATATTATTTTATCTAAATTAATATACAATATATATTTTATTTAATTATAAATCAAAGATTGAAAACAGTTAACGGAAAAAGTCAAACTGGACAAATATTCAGGGACGGAGGTGGTACAAAGTATTGAGTACATGAACTAAAACAAAAAAAATTAAGTCAAAAGTTAAAACTAGTAAAGAAATTACCCTAAATAATAGTAAAAAATAGAGAAAGTACCAAAATAGAATCTACATCTTTTTATCCTTAAAATAGGAGTTTCCACTGTGATAATGCGGTACTGTGTGTAGACATTTCACAATACATTTTGGTATTCTATATTGGCATGATATGCATTTTAATTCCTATTTTTGGGATAAAAAAATTAAATTCCTATTCTGGTATATTTTCTACTCCCTCCGTCCCATAAAACCTTTCTCCTTTCTTTTTTCATCCGTCCCATAAAACACTTCTCATTTCTATTGAAAAGTCACTTTTACCCCTTACTTTTTCATACCCTACCTATCACATCATACCTTTTTACTAATAATCTACCCATCAAATCCTACTTTTACCCATCACATCAAAGGACATTTTTGGAAATTTAATACCAAAATACACTCCCTTAAATCTCTTCAAAAAGCAAAACATCTCATTTTTCATGGGACGAAGGGAGTATGTTTTACTCCTACTTTAGTCTTTTCTCCAAACGAGTATAATGCGGAGTACAATAAATATAAAAGTGTAAGTATTATACTCCTTTTGTCCCAAAAAGAATGTCATTGTGTTGACGACTACTTAAAATTCACGTGAATTCTTATTTATCTGTACATTTTCATTGATTATTTGATACAATAAAATATTATTGTCAAATCTTGTTTTGAAAAACTTTTGACATAGTTTTTAAATATGTAAATTTTAGTTTTTATTTCGATATCAATCTTTAAATAAAATAAATTGAAAAGAATTGAAATTTTATTTCGTTTTGATTATTGTGGCAAACATTTTAAGATGAAGGAAGTACTTATCCAACACATATTAACAATAAATTCAGGTGTTAAACTGAAATGAAAAATATTTAACTAAATTGATCTTAAAGAAATACGATCCGTATTTTAGAATATGTATCTAATTTTGATTTTTCACAATCAAAATTGATAATCTTTGATTATTAATTAAATAAAAATTATATTAGATATTAATATAATAATAGCTTTAATTATTAGATTTGTCTTAGAAAATATTTTTAAAAATGTTACTACGGGGTATTTAATATAATTAATATATCATGTAATTTTTATTAAATTACAGATCAAATATCGACCTTGATTGACTATAATAAGTCAAAACTATATAAATAGTCTAGAATGAACGAAGTAATATTCATAAATGGTGACTGATAATTTCACAAATAGTGTAGTCAAAACATAAAAATGAAAAAACCGTCTTAAAAATATATTCTGGTAAGCAACTTACAAGTGAGCTTATAGATACATGAAAACATGTCATCACCTGATCACGTATAAGTTAAAAAAAACTTATCAATAATTTTAACCAATCTATATGTGAAGTAAAAGGTATATTAAATTTCAAAAGAGTGCATATAAATATATAGATGCAAAATGTGTTTTGGGAGGTAGCTAGCTAGAAACTTGAACATAGTACATGGGAAAGTCCTTCAAATCATGTTCATTAGCCAGCTGCTGCTGCTGGCTTATTATCCTCCCTAACACCCTACTTCTCCCGCCGCCTCCGGCTGCGGTGGCTCAGCCGCTGCGCACGAACTCGCGGTGGATCGTGGACGAGTCGTCGGGGCGGAGGGTGAAGCTGGGGTGCGTGAACTGGTCGAGCCACCTGGAGGCGGCGGTGGCGGAGGGGCTGAGCAAGCAGCCGGTGGATGCCATCTCCAACTCCGTCGCGGAAATGGGGTTCAACTGCGTGAGGCTGACGTGGCCGCTCTTCCTGTTCACCAATGAGTCCCTGGGCTCCATGACTGTGAGGGAGTCCTTGAGGAGTCTTGGGTTGGTGGAGGCCATTGCAGGGCTTCAAGCTAACAACCCCGCCATTGTTGATCTCCCTCTCACCAATGCTTTCCAGGTACTCTCTTCTCTATGTGCCTAACTTAAACAAACAATCAAAATAAAATTTTTATGTATTTATATTTTAACAAACAGTAGATTCAATAAAGTGTTTTCAGTTATAGTTCGTTTTACATATTAAGTCTCTACATATCAAATATCAATAATTTAGTTCCTAATTATTATATTGTTTTCCACGAATGGTTCTTTGTTAACATTTTCGTTAAAAACATGGATAAAATTGTAAATTCACGTTCCTCTCTCTCCTAATTAGATTAAGCTTCCTCCCTCCTCTTGCACTCTTTTTCCAAACTCGTCACTTTAAACCCAAAGCCGAAACGATCATTCCTCTCTCAATTGTTTATCTTCTCGGTGGAGCCCAAAATCGAAACCAATAACCTTCGTGGATGAGTTTTATGAGTTAGTCTCAGGAAATTGCAAAGAAAACAAACATTATATTAATGAAAACTCATCCATTAAGGTTACTGGTTTTGATTTTGGATGTCATCAAGAAGATGAACGATTGAGAGAGAAGTGATGATTTTGGTTTTGGGTTACGTTCAAAGCTTCCAACTTAGCGACGGATTTGGCCGGGAAAGGAGTGCGAGAGGAGGAAGCAAGCTTAATTAAGGAGGAAGAGGAGCGTGAATTTACAATGTTATCCACGTTTTAACGGAAATGTTAACAAAGGACCATTCGTGGAAAACAATATAATAATTGGGGACTAAATTATTGATATTTGATATGTAGGAACTAAATTTGTAAAATGAACAATAATTGGAGACTTTTTATGAAATTAACTCATTTTAAAAATATACTCGTTCCGTTTCTTAAAACTATTATATTTGTGGTTGACTTTTCAATTTTTGTCTTTGATCTGATGAGTAAAAGTATAATGTGATGGGTACATTATTAGTCAAAAAGTATGATGTGATAATCTTATTTTGAAATAAAAGAATACTCCCTCTATTTCTTAAAACCATTCTTATATATTTTGACTTTAGGCCAAACTAAGGAGTAATTTGTAGTTGACTTTCCAATTTCGGTCTTGATGTGATGGATAAAAGTAAGATGTACTGGATATATTATTAATAAAAAAATATGATGTGATAGATAGCTTAAGAAAAAATAGGAATAAAATTGGTTTTTTAATATAAAGTGTAAAATGTTTTGGAAAAGAGAAAAAAATAAAAGAGGAAGTATTTTAGGAAAAAGAGATAGTATATGTGATTTTTATTGTGAGATAATATATTTATATTTGTTGCTCCTATTGTAGCTCTTTTTTTTAAATTTTCTAATTTACTCCGTATTATTCATAGAGTTAAATTGTATTCATCGGTAGAATTAAATCGTATTCATCAGTCCAATAGTTATTTTACAACTTTCGATTTTATTCGGATTATCCCAAAATTTTCTTTCACTTTTTTTAAGAAATAAATTGTATGATCTATATTACGGAGTATATTTCTCTCTTCTACATGAAGTCATAAATTAAAACCACACAAAGACTGCTTTGTTAAAAAAATCATTTCAAGACAAATTAGAGAAAATTGTAGAAAAATACACGATGTAATAACTTGAAGAATCAACAATATAATTTAGGCTCCGTTTGGCTTTAGCTCTATAGATTAGCGTTTATGTTGTGAAAAAGCTATCTGACGGTAGCCTTTAGTGTTAGCGTTTTCAGAGTTAGTCTTACACCGTTAAAATTTTATCCAAAAAACTAACGCTAATCTAATCTTACTATACAAAATGTCGTCCTCTCTCACATCACAATTAATTATTAAAGCTAACAAACGGTTGAAGTTGGGCACCATAAAGCTTGGTCTTATCTTTAGATAATTTTATATGGAGAATTTATCTAAATACCACTAAAATATAATGACTTTCCTTAAATACTACTACCTCCGTCCCGTGAAACATTTCCCCTTTCTTTTTTTATCCGTCCCACAAAACACTTCTCATTTCTATTAAAAAGTCACTTTTACCCCTTACTCTTTCATACCCTAACTATCACATCATACCTTTTTACTAATAATCTATCCATCAAATCATACTTTTACCCATCACATCAAAGGACATTTTTGGAAATTCAATACCAAAATACACTCCCTTAAATCCCTCATAAAAAGCAAATGTCTCATGTTTCACGGGACGAAGGTAGTACTACATATGTTTTTTTCTCAATGTAGTACTTTTAGTCATTATCCATTAGTCATTATTCAAATAAATGTTTGTTATCACTGGTCATTATGGACATTATAAAGTGCTATTTAGAGAAGAAAATAATCTAAGTACTATTTAGAGAAATTACTTAAGTTTTAGTGCTATTTAGTGCAAATATTTCTTTTATATATTTCAAGAATTCTATAGTTATATAATTACACTTTCTTATCCAAAAAGACCCTCAATTAATTATATTGCTCTGAGTTTTTGTGCATGCTTGTAAACTAATTAAAGACATATTGTTATACTCCCTTATACTTCGTCCTTAAACGATTATGACAGTTTGACTTTTTTGTTAAACTATGACACTCTTTGACTCTTAATTATGAAAAAATTATACTTAGTTATAATGTAAATATCAAATTTTTATAATATTTAATTATTTTAAATTATATTTAATCCTTTGTAAAAGAATGTCACGATTTGAACAAAAAACTCAGAATGTAACAATCTTTAAAAAACAGAGGAAGTATTTTTTATTCATTATCTTTTCTTTTCTGATAAGGAAACGGAAGTACTCCCTCCTCCCTCCCTACGATATATAAAAAGTCAAATTATATCATTTGAGAATTTATGGATTTAAGTATTAAAAAATAAATTTGTGAATAGAATTTAAAATTTATGATTTTTTGAAGGGTAAAATTTAAAATTTATGAAATTAAGTATTAAAAAGTAAAATTTGTGATAAAACTTTTGTTTCTCCATTTTTGAAAAGGTTGCCAATCTTTCATCCTTAAGCATTCAAAACTAATTTTTTTTCAAAATAGAAAGAGTGATGTTAGACAATAATAAGAAATAATCTTTACTTTGGTAAATGTTATATTTTACTCTGCTTCTATTCTTGATTCTTATTTGTGTTTGGAATCCCTTCTATATTTACTCTCTTATATATACTTTACGTCCAGCATAATTTGTTTTTTTGGTTAAATGTGTTACGCTTTAACTATAAATGGTGAAAAAAGTATATAATGTAATTTAATAAAATTAGGTTTATTTTAAAATATAACTTTAATAAATCAAATTTTTTATTACATTTAATTATTTAAAAGTATATTAAATTTGTTAGGCCCCCACTCCAAACAAATCGAAAGAAAAGGAAAAAAAAAGGAGCACACAATTTATAACGTGGTTCGGCACCTCAAGACCTACTCCACGACCCCCTCTGGGATAAAATCTCACTAGTAATTTTTGCACGGAAAAATTACAAACCCTCTTCAATATTTGACACTCACAACCTAAAATCTAATACACAATTATATAGATTGAAAGATTGTGTTGTGTGATGGAAGCCTATATCCCCTCTTTATTTATAGGCTCCAATCCCTCCTCAATTTTCCTATCCCACCGATGTGGGACTTTGAAGTAACACTCAACAAATTTCCCCTTAATTCAAAGTCCTACATCATTTGCGATTTCTGCAGCAATACTCCCATCCTGCAGAATCTTCTGTCCAGCAGTACTCTTATCTTCAGAGGAGATCATCTTCATAAGTGATCACATTTGCGAAAGAAGCTTCCATCGATTTGCCCTTCTTCTCCTTTAGGATCTGCAAGTCCTCCTTGAGTTCTGGACAACCGTTCTTCGTGTGACCCAACTTTTCACAGTAATAGCACCTAACAGTGCTCATGTCTCTCAGCTGAGATCTTCTCCCAAGTTGGTCACTCTTCTTCTTCCTCCCTTTCTCAACACTCACAGTAGCTAGTAAATGACTGTCCCCGGAAGACTCTTCACCTCCCATCATCCTTTGACTCTCCTTCAAGGCAGTCGTCACCTCATCTAGTCGCAGTGTAGTCCTTCCTGCTATCATTGACTGCACAAACGGCTTAAAGGATTTTGGTAGTGAAGCCAATAGAAGCAGCCCTTGCTCTTCATCCTTGATAGTCTCCCCTGCATTTAACAGCCTTGATACTTGCTCATTAAACTTGTTGATGTGATCAATTACGCTACCTCCCTCTTCCATCTTCAGTGAGTACAAGTCCATCCTCATCATCAACCGGTTAGTAAGTGTCTTCGACACAAACTTGCTCTCCAACATTTCCCACAGCTTCTTTGGTGATGTCTCTTTCAGCACTGTCACTTTAATCTGTGGGGACAGTGCCAACCGAATTGTGCTGACAGCCTTCTTCTGGATTGTACTCCACTCTGATTCTTTCATATCACTTGGCTTCTCATCTTGCAATGCTAAATCAAGACCTTGCTGGACCAAATAGTCTTGAATCGTGCATTGCCACAACATGAAGTCCGCTCTTCCATCAAATAACGGAACTTCAAACTTCAAGGTAGTCATAGTTCCACTCAAGCAGCAATCAACCAATACCAAACAATCCAAATTTGAGGAAACTGGCCTCAAAAATGGAATCAGGACATCAAAATTAGTCACAACCAACTTCTCTCCGAAAGTCACCAGCGGGACCCACACGATGACTGGACCTACTGATGTGGCGCTGACAGGATGATGACCTGGCACTCGGACCCACAAACTGCTGACGTGACACTCACGAACCCACCTCTGCTGACTGGACCACCACCTCCTCCACTGAAGTGGCACGCCCTCCTCTTGCTCCTTGCTCTATCTCCTTCTTCCCTAGACTGCAACTCTGTAATTAATAATTCTTTTCTGATGTGGAAGATCAGTCAAAACTGCAACCACAGAGCATACTAAGAATTATAATTACCAGATCACCCGAGCTCTGCACCTTGGCTCCGATACCACTTGTTAGGCCCCCACTCCAAACAAATCGAAAGAAAAGGAAAAAAAGGAGCACACAATTTTTAACGTGGTTCGGCACCTCAAGACCTACTCCACGACCCCCTCTGGGATAAAATCTCACTAGTAATTTTTGCACGGAAAAATTACAAACCCTCTTCAATATTTGACACTCACAACCTAAAATCTAATACACAATTATATAGATTGAAGGATTGTGTTGTGTGATGGAAGCCTATATCCCCTCTTTATTTATAGGCTCCAATCCCTCCTCAATTTTTCTATCCCACCCATGTGGGACTTTGAAGTAACACTCAACAAAATTGTGGTCAAACTCTTGCACAGTTTGACCAAAAAAGTTAAAATGTGACTCCAGTCATTGATCTCGCTCCCTCTCTTTTTCCGATCCCTACGGCGTCACCGCCGTTTTTTGGCTCAAGCATGGTGACAAACGGAAGAGATCCGTTCGACTCCCTCCGTGCAATAATCACGTGCAATTTTCTTTTTTTCATGCAAGATTCAATCAAAAACAAATATCACATTTATTTCACCTAAAAGATATATAGTATGTTGATTATTTTTTAAAAAAATTTGTTGCAGGCAGTGGTGGAGAGCCTAGGAAAGTACAATGTGATGGTAATAGTGGACAATCACCTAAGCAAGCCTGGTTGGTGTTGCAGTAATAACGATGGCAATGGCTTCTTTGGTGACATTTACTTTGACCCTAAAGTATGGGTCACTGGCCTAACCAACGTGGCCACCCTCTTCAATGCCACCCCCAATGTGGTTGGAATGAGCCTAAGGAATGAGCTTAGAGGGCCCAGACAGAATGTTAATGATTGGTTCAAGTGCGTTTGACTTTTACGTTAACTTTGGCCGCAAATTAAATATAATTTTAAATAAATAACGTTAGTAGACATTTGATACGTCCCGAAACCAATCCAGGTACATGCAGCAGGGAGCCGAAGCGGTGCACGCGGCGAACCCTGACGTTCTGGTCATCCTCTCCGGCCTAAACTTCGACAAGGATCTCTCCTTCCTCAAGCAACGTCCCGTGAAACTGACCTTCTCCGGGAAGCTGGTTTTCGAGGTGCACAGGTACAGTTTCACGGACGGGGCGGAATGGGCGTCGGGCAACCCGAACCGGGCGTGCGGGAGGATAACCAACGACGTGATGGGGAGGGGAGGGTTTGTGTTGGACAAAGGGTACCCGTTGTTTGTGAGCGAGTTTGGGATCGACCAAAGGGGCGAGAATGTGAATGACAACCGATACTTCAACTGCTTCTTGGGCCTTGCGGCGGAGCTGGACGTTGATTGGGCGGTTTGGACGCTCGCCGGAAGTTATTATCTCAGGGAGGGGACGGTGGGGCTTGAAGAGTTCTATGGGGTTCTTTCATGGAATTGGTGTCAACCTAGGAACTCAAGCTTTCTCCAAAGGATCTCAGCCATTCAATCACCCTTTCAAGGTACTCCTATGTCTCATGTTTTAGTTCACTTTTACTCTTATTTTTTTTGTTTGTCTCACTATTTTTGTCTCATAACTATATTTGATCATATTTGCAGGACCCGGTTTTGAAGAGTCATGTCCGCATAAGCTAATCTTCCATCCAATGACGGGGCTATGCGTACGAAGATCGTCATCCCTGCAGACACTAGAGTTAGGTCCATGCTCTGAGGCAGACGCATGGACCTACCCTCCATCCAAAACAATAACACTTCAAGACGAAACCCAATCTTGTCTCGAGGCTGATAATGAAAGCCCTGGAACCCCAGTGAAGCTCGGGACGACCTGCAATGGCAATAACTCGAAATGGGTACTCATCTCCGACTCGAAGATGCATCTTTCGACTAAACTTCAAGACGGGAGCAGTGTTTGCCTGGACGTTGATGGTTCTGACGACAACAACGTTGTCCTCGTCACCAATGCATGCAAATGTTTGAGTAATAGTGATGGTCCTAATTGTGACCCTGCAAGCCAGTGGTTCAAGATGATCAATAGCACTAGAGAGAGGATAAATACTACAAGTACCAAAGATCATGATGATGTGCTCCTTCACTACAAACCCCCCTCACTTTTGTATTTTCTGGCAAAAAGATTGTTTGGAAACTTTATGTGGTGGTAATAGTAATACATACTACTCCCTCTGTCCCAAATTATTTACTATTCACAGGGTCAAACTTCATTCACTTTCTTTCTCTATTTTCGTTAGCAATTTGATAAAATAAAGTACTATTGTCACTACTAGTTTTGTAGATCTTTTGATGTAGTATTTTAAAATGTAATTTTTATTTTTTAATTATATACCATTTGCCATATGAAATGATTTGAAAATAATTTCAGTCAAACATCGTAAACCGAAACAGACATTATAAAATGGGACGGAGGGAGTAAAATTCTAAAAATACAGTAAAAGGGTTAATATGGGAAGTACAAGAGAGCTGCAAGATACTCCCTCCATCAAACTTAAGTGTTCCACTTTTAAAATTGTAATCATACACATAAAGAGTTTTAATCCATGTCTATGTTAATTCAATTGGATATGATTTTTGTTTGTTTTGGGATTTTATGATTAAAATTAAATAAGGATAAACTGCTATATTAGTCCCATAAGTGGACACCCTTAGCTTGGCAAAACTGGTTCTGTTTCAAGGAGTATACATCATTCTTTCGGTCCTCCGAATCCGGAGAATGCTTCTTTAGATGTAACAAAACAGCTTTAGTCTGGGAGTTCACTGTCCCAATAGTTCCTCAATTGGGACATGTGCAAAAGAAGTTCATCCCTTCCCAACCCAGAGACACTGCTGGTCATTATCCATGGGGGGATCTGTCTGTAGTTTTGTTTTAGCAACTCTTGGAACTCTCTGACGTTTTCATGGGGCAGTCTCGCTTTTCCTCCCTTCATCTTGTCACACTTGGTGAAGACAAAAGTCATTGGTATCTGAAAACGAGTCACAAAGACAGTCTTGGTCACTTTGGTGCAAACTTAAGGCCTTCGTTTTGCATCTTCGCCTCGTTTATGTCATGTTCTAAATGGGACTCACATGTCTCTCATCTTGAGTAGGTAAATATAACATAAGACATAATCTAAGAGAGAGAGTTTCATTGAGATAGATAGAGAGAGAGAGAGAAGGCAACGTACGTTATTACGGCCAAGCCAATTAGCACAGTCGAGGTCAATCTTCTGAGGAGGCACACTTGCATCGACCAAAAGCAGAACTGAAACCAAAGTTTCTCGGTTTAAGAAGTAGCCTTTGGTGAAAGAGGACCAATCCATTTTAGCAGATTCAGATGCATTTGCAAAACTGTACAAATAAGGTTACATGAGATACTGAATATCGACTACCATCTCAACCACAAAGAGCATATGTACAAGCATACAGCAATTATGGTCATAGCTGATTAGCTGAAAAACATGGCTATAGAGAGATGAAACACATGATTCCACTGTTAATTTTATCAAACCAGAAATGAAAACTAATGCTGTACATGAGGGAAATAGAAAAAAGCATACCCGTAGCCCGGCAAATCCACGATATACCAACTTTTGTTCACTAAGAAATGATTAATCAGCTGAGTCTTCCCTACACAATACACATGGCATAATCAAATACGAAGTATGCCATAACACAAGTTAAAAACTGGTTTGTTAATGTTGCCAACTTATCATCAAAACCGGGAGAGGGAGACAGAGAGAAAGAGAGCACCTGGCTTCTTAGAGGTAAGTGCAAGCTCTTTCTTTCGAACCAAAGCATTAATGAGAGATGATTTGCCGACATTTGACCGGCCCAACATGGCAAACTCGGGCCGGTTGTCCTTAGGACAGTCCTTCACCCGGTTGCTGCTCTTTACAAACTCCACATTGTTGATCTTGGAGTCTCCAGCATATGGTCCAATGACAATATTAGATCTGGGTACGATCATTTCGTCAGTAATATCTTCTATGTTAACCCCAGGTGGAACAAATATGGCATTTGGGGCAAAACTGACAGTTTCAGGTTGTGGTGAAGCTTTAGAGGTCTTGAATGTGGCAACATGGCGAGATAAAGGGGTTATAAATGAGACAGAATATGGACGAGCTTTGGGAGGGAATCGGGAGTTGAAGAGTGAGCTGTGTTGTGGAATATTAAAGAGGCAAGGCCTCAACTTCAATAACATCATCTTCCTCCTTGTAAAGTAGAACGGCTTCCTAATATGGTTCTCTATGCCTAAAAAATTGCATGATCCCTTTCAGATTTTAGATAGTAACATTTCTTATATGTGCAACTGCAATCCACGTGTCGAGCTATAAATAAACAAGTGATCTATTAATAAATTCAAGCTTACATGTTATGCGAATATTGTAAGGTAAATCGATAACAACTAATACTTTGACATTGTTCATACAAATATATCTTACAACTATATGAGTCTACGTTTCATATTTTTGAAGTGGTTTTATTATAAAATCATCACAAAAACATCTCCCTCTACATATGTCACTAAACAATCATTCAAGCGCTCAAAAAAAGATTTTATTTTGCATGTCATTCTTCACAAACTTCAAAGCTAGGAATGTGTTTTCAACACTAGTTGTCAATGCTCATAGAAGCAAAGCTAACTTTATAAGAGCAAACATATAAAGGTGAACATTCAGGTGAAAACTAAAATTTTCTTAGTATCGGTTTCTAGGGACTCAAAATCACTATTCTTTACACCCTTTTTCATTCAATAGGGTTTCAAATACACCAACCGGTTGCTCTACTTGTTGATGTAAAGATGGAGAAGTAGTTGAATTCAAATTAAAATGATTCTTAGTAGGTTCAATTTCTTTGACTTTATGAATCAACTTCCTAAACTACTTACTTTTGATTAAAAACTTTGATTGATAAACTAACAACTTAACTAGCTAGTAGGCTGGTGTGGCCAAAGTTGCTTGCAAATAGTTCTAAATAGGGGTAAGGTCTGTCTCTACTTGTGTGGGATTATATTGGGTGGATTTGTTTCTGTAGTGTGATTCATAATACTCGGCTAAAATCTATCATTGGTCCTTCAACTTTGTAAGCTGTGCACGATTGGTCTTTCAAGTTTTAAAAGTTCATAAATTGTTCTTCTAGTATTCAACAACCTCTAAATCCAGTCTTTCAAGTTTCAAAAGTTCATAAGTAGTCCTTCAAGTATTCATCAACCCTTCAAATCCATTCCTTTTTACGGTACACGTTAAAAGCTAAACGGAGTACTAGCTCCATATATATAACTTCCGACCTGCAATGGGTGCCAGATGCAACTAGCTCCATATATATAACTTCTGCTTCAGCCTGCAATGGGTGCCTCCTGCTGGCCCCGTCCTCCGAACAGCGCTGCGCAGTGAGTCTTTTCCTCCCATTGTAAATGTTGGGGATAATTTTACTTTCTAAGGGGTTTAATTTGTATAGTAAAGAACACAAAACATTGATTGGAATTGTGGAAACCCATTAATTCCATATACGTAAAAAAAACAATCACCTACGTAATAGGTACAAGTACTTCGTATTATATAAATGGAAGTAGTAATCCGTTTATCTTTTAATGTGTACCGTAAAAAAGGACTGCATTTGGAAGGTTGATGAATACTTGTGGTCTTTTGAAACTTGAAGGAATGCATGTGGAGGATTATGAATACTTTAAGGACTATTTATGGATTTTTGAAACTTGAATGACTAATCGTGCACAACTTATAAAGTTGAAAGACTAATCGTGAATTTTAGCTTATAATACTCCCATTAAAATAAATATACACTTCAAGTACAATACAAAATCTTCCCATTGAAAAATAATTTAACAACCATTTACCAAATCACAAATTACACTGAAAATCAACTACCAGAATTCGAAAATCAAAAGAATTTATGAACTATGAAGTCCCAAAATAAAAACTTACCTTGACGAAAGAAGACGAAGGGGTGCCGAGCGTAGTGGCGGAAAGGAGGACCCGAGTGAGAGCGGCGGAGCGGCTGTGGCTGAGGGCCCTCAGCGGCGAATGGAGGACGCCTTTCAGATTATCTTAGGTGCTTTTGTCAGAAGGATTAAAAAAAGAAACACAGGAAGAAGATTTCCTCAAATCAAACTCCAATCCTCAATCCTAATCCAAATTGAAGACTAAAGCTGGGATTTCTCGTCAATAAAAGAAGCAAAATCGATCAGAAACATTGATGATACAGAGCACGACAGAGCAGAGAGTAGAGAAGCCGGCCTAGGGTTCCGACCCTAGGTCCGGCTATGAATTGATTCCGACGTCCATGTACTCAGGTGGTGGGACTCTGATTTGGCGATGGATCCGGTGACCCTTGAATTTGTTCTACCTTTTTAGTTTATTTCAATCTTTTTTAATTAGGAATTCAAGTTTCTTAATTCCTCAAATTGATAAATTTGATTTCTAATACGGAGTATTAAATATAGTTATTTTCAATTCCATATTTGTTAAATGTTTAAGTTATAATATAAGTGTTGAATGATTTTATGTTTATATTGTTTAAGTTATAATTCATTGATTTGTTATTGTCTCTGAAATTATAAAATCTTTTTACGTCAAATTGTTTGATCGAAAGGGTTGAAACTTTGATTTGGTTATTTTTGTTTGATTAATTTGACTTTGAAGAGATTTTAGTTTTATGCTACTGTTAAATTTATACTCGAAAAGGTATTCAAAAAATTGTTCTTTGTTTATGCTTGAATTGGACTTAATTAGGAGCGCGCGTCTAAACCAATTTAAAATTACATTCTTATAAAGTCCAAAGTGCTTTAAATAATCGAATTTTTCTAGAAATCAAGTGTCACTTGATTAGTACTTGACTGCCTCGTTAAGTAATTTTGTTAATCAAGATTCTCGAACTGATCGATTTTGTTTAATAACCGTAGTGTTACTGCAAAATTGTTATGGTGATGTTTTCCACGAATCTTAATGCGCTATTTTTAGTAGTAACTTAAGGGCTAGTATTTGGATTGTTAAGGATAGTAGGGTTTAAAGTTAGGGTTGATCTTAGCATGAGCTAATATGAATGACAGAATAAGTAAGAACTGTTGGTGAACCGTTTCTTCAGTCTAACTCTAATTAAATTAGTAGTTTAATTTCAGAATCAAGACATAATTAACTAGTTAATCATACTTGTTCAGTTTATTTTCTTTTACAAATTATAAGTATTTGTGTGTTGTTTTCTCCCTGGGTGTTCTTTCTGAGTTTCAAGCTTGCTATTGTAGTTCTATCTCTTATCTTTTACTTTATTTTATTTACATTTTTAACATTTTAATTTGTCTTTCAACCCCCCATATATCTTAGTTTTAGTTTTTAGTTTTAGTTAGTTGTTTTTATTTAATAAAATTGATAAAGTAAATTGATTTTCATAGCTTAAAAAGTATCTTTGTTCGAGGGATCGGCCCTTACTTGCTTTATCTATGTATTTTAAGTAATAA